TAAAAAATAATAATTTTGTTATGTTATGAAAAATTGTAACTATATTTAGTCGGATTCTTATCTTAAAGTGATAAATAAATAGATATTTAATAATTATTAGAAATATTTAATCATTTTTTAGAAGATATGATAATAAAGTTTACTCTTAATATCTTTGCTAGTATCAAGATATCTTTGGCAGGAATATCTTGAAAAATACATAATCTGTTTGGTACCAAATTATAAAACGATAAATATATAACGATAAATCTAATAATCTTCATTAGATATTTGATGAGAACTGTCATCGTTGAACCATAGTTGTGTTATAACCATTTTGAAAGATTATCAACTGCAGCAAAACAAAAGTCACTCTTTGAACTTAATTTATTTTCATTCTCCATCTCTATAAAATTAAATTTTTACTTAGTCCACGTGGACATTTACTTTGATCCCCCTCTCCCCAACGTGGGCTACTGGTGGGGTGAAAAAGCCACTTTGCGATTCGGGAAAAATATATTATAATTATATTAACTCCTTAAAACCAAAATTAAACAAATTAAATTTTTTTATGAAATTTAAACATTTCAATAATATTGTTTCCAAGATGCACCACGTAAACGTAATGAATCATACATCTCAGCCACACAGCATCAAAAACTTGTCGAATATTCCATCACAAAAATACATACACTCAAAAGAATACTATGATTATAAACGATAATATACTGCATTTTCTATGGCTTTTCTATAATATTCGTCGAATTTTTGCTTCTGTATGGGTACAAATCTATAATTTATAATTACAGAATTGTACAAACAAAATCAATTGGCACGCATAAATTCAATTATTACAAATACTTATTATTCATTTTTTTGATTCTCGAATTTTTGAACCAGAGACTTTGAATTTGCAATTTGGAATTATATTATTTTGACGTGAAAGTCTTAATCAGAGGTCTTAAAAATACCTCCGAATAAAATTTGAAAGCAATTGGTTAACAATAATAGTTATTTCGATTTTTTAACCCCAAATACAGTTTTATTACTATATCTCAGTTTTAGCTTGTAATTTTTAAAAAATTATTCTAAAATGTGACTAAATAACAATTAATACTCAAGTATAAAAAGTTTAGAAACAATCTATTAAGAAATGAATAATTTGAAAATTTTTGATTTTTCAAATTTTTTAAAAATCTTCTATACTTACAAATTATTATTTTTAAATCGGAAATGGCTAAAATTTTCACGATACTTGCATGATACTGGAACAAAATATTGCAGACATACGTACAGACACAAATTTTTTAACGGACATTTTTGGACTACTTGTTCTTCATAACGACAAACTACGTCAAAAATTTTAAAATTTGAGCAATGTACAGACAAAAGTTTGATTCTGGTTTTATTAATATAGATTAATTAAATGTTAACAATTAATTGTTGTCGGCATAAGTTTCTATTTTTTCTTGTTACATTTTTTCAATTCTTTACCAGCTTCCCGTATTACGCGCATTAATAGGTGTATTTTTTAATTTTACATAAAAATCTTTGTTAAAGACCTTAAAGAAGTGATTTTTTTAAATAAGAGAACATTTTACAAAAATATTAATTTAACAAATTTTTTCAGATGAAATAGTATATTGTGCATCTAGGGAGGGTTTGCGAGCGAAGACGAAACAATGCACAGTGAGGTATTTCGTTAATTTAGCTGGCCAAAAGTCGATTTTGTAAAACTTATTACTTTTTAAAATAAATATGCACAGGTATTTCTAGGTGTTCCACAAACAATATGCAGCCCCCTGTACCCCTCTTAAACATCACCCAAGAAAAACATAGAAACAAAAGTTATTAACAAAATAAAGCTGATTCGCTGTTTTTTATCTATGATAAGTTATAGTTATAATGGACTGATATATTTGCCTAACTGTTTAATTTCTATAAAAACGAATTATGGCTAGTTCTAGATCAGGTAAATGTGCATTTAATTCATATTTTAATCTTTTAATATGATAGTTTTTAAGTGAATTGAACTACATTTGAAATTGTCAGGTTATATCATATTATTTTTAACCAACTTTGACAATTCGAAGGTTTTTGTTATACTTCAGGGTGGATCCCTGTAATTTTTTTCACTCTACTATACAGATTTTTATTTACCCTTGACTCTTGAATAACAAATATCCGCGCATACCCGCGATTTTAGAAGTTTTGATAAGGTTTCTGTGATACTGTAAAAATTTGAAAATTTTTTATTTTTGGTCCTATTTTATTTCATTTCTTCTAGATTCATCAAGCGTGAAGATATTTACTCGCTTGGAATTATTTACTATAATGCAACGACAAGATTTGTCCAGTTTTGCCGAAAAGTTAGAATTTATCGAGAATTATTTATTAAAATATGACATTTATAAAGAAGAATAAATGAAAAATATTAAACACCAGTTTTCATATCAGAAGTCAGAATTTAAACGAAGATGGCTAGCGGCACAAAAGAAAAGTGATTTATTTGTTAAGAAAAATGAGCAATGGCTTCTGGGATCGTTTACATTACCAATTGCTAATTGTAAAAATCGTTCAGGTCGACCTACTATAAGTTTTAGTGAGTCAAGTGACAGAAGTAAAAGAAGAAAAACAGAAGATTTGAGGAAGAACACTGATCTTGACGTTTTGACTTATGCTACAAAAATGAAACTACACGAAGAAGGTCAAAGAAATGCGTCTAAAGTAGTTAAGGATTTAACCAGTTCTCCTAGTAAAGCTAATCAATATAGGATTGCATACTCAAAAATGATGGAACCAAATGTGAAACAGTTGTCACCCTTGCATAGTCTATCTATGATAGTTGAAGGCAATCTGACTAGAAATCAATATGAAGTCGTCAGGAGTACTAATAAATCTTACTACCCATGTTACACTATAATACAAAGAGAAAAAAAAGAAGCATATCCTAACGAATCGTCTTATCTGGTGACCGAAACGTGTGCAGAAATTAAATTACAAGATTTAATGGATCTCACGGTAAAGCGCTTCTTAATTTATTTAAAAGACGTTCTACAAGGTCTGAAGCAAGAGGAGTGTAACACGTTGAGGTTGATTTGTAAGTGGGGTTGTGACGGCTCACAACAAAAGAAATATAAGCAATCATTTGTTAACGATGAAGATTCCGATGCAAATATATTTCAGAGTTCCTTTGTCCCACTACAATTAATTTGTGATCACAACAATAAAATAAAATGGCAAAATCCAACTCCCTCCTCACCTCGGTACTGCCGTCCTATAAGAATAAGATTTGTTAAAGAAAGTGTTGATATTATTACCGCGGAAATATCTCATGTTCAGAATTCTGCAGCAATATTAAAGGAAACAAAAATTAAATTGGTTGATCAAGATTTTTGGGTGAAACACACGCTAATGCTAACTATGGTTGATGGAAAAGTCTGTAATGCTGCCACAGAAACAGCTTCTACCTCGCGTTGCTATATTTGTGGTGTCACTTCGAAAGATTTTAATAAGTTAAATGTAACAAAACAGCCTAATTCGGATTCGTTGTCATTCGGCCTATCGACTTTACATGCAAGGATTCGTATGTTTCAGCACTTATTACATGTGGCTTATAAACTGCCTGTTAAAAAGTGGCACGCAGTACTTTCTTTAAGGGAAAAAGAACTTATAAAGCAAAGAAAACAACAGATTCAATATGACTTTAAAAAGAAGCTAGGTCTTTTAGTTGATGTACCTAAGCACGGATTTGGTAATACCAATGATGGAAACACCAGTCGAAGGTTTTTTAGTGAACCAGTCATTGCGTCCGAGATACTAGGTATTGATCAAAACCTCATCTATCGTTTCAAGATTATATTACAAACTATATGTTCTGGACATAAAATTGACTGCAAAAAATTCTCTGATTACACTATGGAAACTGCTCAACTGTATGTAGGCCTGTATGACTGGTATCCGATGTCTCCAACAGTACATAAGATTCTTATTCACGGTGCAATTGTAATCGAAAAGGCTTTATTGCCAATTGGTCAACTATCCGAAGAAGCAGGCGAAGCAAGAAATAAACATTTCCGTCTGTACCGTGATAATTTTGCCAGAAAATTCTCTAGAACTGCCTGCAACTTAGACGTGATGAATAGATTACTTCTAACTTCAGATCCTCTTCTGACAGGGATGAGACCATGTCCAAAAAAAAAAATCATTGCCATTTTCGAAGGAGACTCAAGAGATGCTTTCTGCTGAACCTTTTTCCAGCAATTCATCAAATGATGATGATGAATATCCGGATGATCATGATAATGAGTTAGCAGACTTAATCGAGAATGAAGATTAGAATAAAGATTTGTAATAACTATGCTAGATTAAGTAAGGTATTCAATAGAAAGTTGTATTAAGTGCAAAAATTTGCGTTAATTTTTCAATAAATGTAAAATTTTGATGAATTTTTCCATTTTTCTCAATTATCTTTATTTAAAATTGTATAATAGTAATTTTAAAACATTTTTTTACAAGAAAAATATATCTATTAATTTTGGCCAGCTAAATTAACGAAATACCCCACTGTGCAATGGGCAATGGTCAAACTAGAATCAAAAGTTGCGTATTACCTAATTTAATTATTTATTTATTAATTAAGCTTCAGCCTTTCGGCCCAGAAGTGGACTTGGTTTAATACAAAAACCTAATTTAATTTATATTCTAAATGCTTGATAAAACTATTTAATAGTTTTAATTTAAAACCCCTTGGCTTTTTCACCCCGTTCTACTTTAAAGTGATTTTTATAAAATGAACATTGATTTAGATGCTTTTATAAGCAGAATTTATGTTTTTCTTAATATAATTTAAAATTTTTACTTTTGTTCGATAATTTTTCATGTGCTTTTCTTGCATTGTCTTTTTTAAGAAAGGTCAAAATTTTGACATCATTTGATTTTTTCAAGTTTTAAAAATTATTCCTAGAATGAATCAGCTGTACATTAAATCAAAAATTATTATAAATAAATACTCATCATACTTAAGTCTTAACAGCTTCTGTTCATATTGCTGACGTCTTTGTGCTCGTACTATTTGATCAGATCTTAATCCACCAATATTAAATCGATGTTGAGATGTGAGAATTTGTTGTCTGCGCTCTAAGGCTCTTTGTTGAAGTGATCTCAAAGACTTTACACCTCCTCCCATCTAAAACATACAAGAGTTTTTAAAACTTTAAACATATTCATATATAATGAACGAATAACCAATTTTTTTGGAAAAACTGCATACTTTCTATTATACTAATAGACATTATTCTCCCTTACTCTATGATGTTTCACAATTTTTCTTGAAAATTTTATTTATAAGATAAATATATAAATAATAATAAACAACAAAACGACAAGAAAAACATTTATATTGTCTATTTCAAACTTACAAGTAAGGTAATTATTATTAGGGGCCGTCCTTAAATTACGTAAGATTTTATTGGGGGTATTTTGACCCCCCATCCCATGTAAGATACATTACATTCATTAGCGGCATTTTTTCTATTAGTCGTAAGAAATGTTTGACCCCCCCCTCCCCCTAAAAGTCTTACGTAATTTATGGACAACACCTTACAGAAAATATAATATTAATAATTTACTGTTATGTAAAAAATATTAAATAAAATAATTGTTTTTAATAAACAAAGGTATAGCACTAAAAAATCTTTAATTCTTGAAGTTGATTTACACAAATTAACGAAATTAAATAATATAATTTTTAGGTTAGGAATCTTGTTGACGTTATTGACTTCATTGACAATTGTGTTAGTGCCAATCATATAATGCAAAAGTATCAGAGCGCAAAAGGCACTTAATATAAAAATTGTTAAAATAAAGTGAATATGTAATGAAAAAAATATAAATATGAAGAAAATTTTCATATTTTCACAAATTTTATTACACAAGAATCAAAGACATAAATATTATCTAAGTATAATTTACTTTAATATTTATTTTCTATAATTTACAAGATCCTTTTACCAACATGAAAATATCACAATGTAGAATATAACCTATATTTTTACAGTTTTTCTATTCAGGTTCATTTTGAGTAACGTGAAGTTGTCTGTTAACTCATTTTGATGCACATCTCATAATGAGATGCAGCGAAAATGAGTTCAGTTTTTTTCTGTGTGACAATGGCCGTTATTTTTATAAATTCAGAAATTGACCAGAATGATTTTTTTGAAATAATAATTACAGTAGTATATCCTCGTCATTTATCTATCATAGAAACATACAACCTTACGCTCAAGCTTGTGCTATCATATTTGATATTCATTTTAATTTCCATTTATTGATTTATAAGTAAATTTAACCAGTAATAGGTATTTATCAGAAATTTCAGAGGTTGACTTATCTAAATTGAAAATTAACCTACGGGGCGATCGTTTCCAGCATCGACTATACTTTTGACTACTGAAGGAACAAGACGTTTAATTTTGGCTACATCTTACGAGTTAAATAATTCATGCTCGAAAAAGGCAACAACTGGGTTGCTACCTCTGTACTGACAACAGGTATAACCTGTTGTCAGTACAGAGGTAAGAGAAAAATTATATAAAGAAGATGAACCAGAAAATAAAAAAAAAATAAAATTAATAAATCTGAAAGAATATTTCTCTACTTTCTGCTAACATTTTTTATATTCATGTTTCAAATTTCTGAAACGATTTTCATTTGTATAATAATCATTTCAATAAAAAATTTTAAAATGTCTAAATATTCTATAAGAAAATTTTGTGTGTATGAATTTATTATTATTCTACCTTTTTCTTAACATTCCTACCATTTCAGAAATAGTTTAATCTATTTTCATTAAACATCAGTTATTAATAATAATTTTAAAATGATTTAAAACTACACTCAACTCTACACGAAGAGAAGAAGAAAATGTAGGTATAAGAGAGGGAGAGACAGAGATTGTGGTGGTGGTGACTCAACCTAGCGTATAGGAGGCGAGTTTCCGCAACAAAAGAAACGTTACATTGTTCAAAAACGTGGAGGATTTCTACCGCTTTTACTTGCACCTATTATTGGTAGTATAATCTCTAACCTTTTCTCAAGTAATGATTAGTACAGAAACAACCGTTTGAAGACAAGGATTGCAAGAAAACTCCTCTCACCTCTCATTTTTTTCTCATTGAATTCTAATATGGAACATGCAAAGAAAATGGTTTTAATTCCCAGCGTACAAGATCATAAAATACAAGAACAACAACGCAAACCGTTCAGTTCTAAAAAAATATTAAATAATAGCAATGATGAGGAAATTGATACTAATGAAAATGAGGAAGATGATGATGGTGATGATAATTTTAATGAAGATAAAATAATGAGTAATGAGGAAATACTTGGTACTGTACCAAAAACTTTTAAATTAAAAGCCAAATCTTGATTAGAAAGTATCCGTAGACCTGGCATACGTAAACGCATAAAATGGGACTTGCGTGGTAAAGTTATTATTGATGGAAAACGAGTAGAAAATTCAAATATAATTGATCTTATTAATGATGCTTTAAGATATAGAAAAACTGTAAACCCATCAGGACGAGGTCAGTTTGCTAGTTTTCTTCGTGATATCGGGATATCACGTGAAATTGTATCAAATTCAGAATATTGGAAAAAGAATATAAATATTACATCATCTTCAAATTTAAAAAATAAACCAGTTAATGAGAAAAAATCTTTGATAGATTTAATGACAGATGACGAAAGTAATAGTAGCGAGAGTGAACACAAACATCGAAGTCGAAGTACGAACCGGTTAGACAGGTCAAAACAGGATACTTATAACACAAAGAGAGAGGAAAGTGATAATAATACTACATGGTTAGCTCTGTTTTTAAAATAAATATATAAATAAAATATTAATATGAAACTACTAGAAGAAATATATTTTAATCCAGCACATGAAGCCTCTTTCTCAGGAATTGAAAAACTTGTAAAAGCTACTCGTGGAAAAGTTTCGCGTGAAAAAGTAGTTGATTGGTTGCAAGGACAAGATACATATAACTTACATATTCCTACACGACGTAAATTTCAACGTGCTTTTTATAATGTTACTAATATCGACGATCTCTGGGAAATTGATCTTGTTGATTTAAAGAATTTAAAAGATTACAATGATGGTTATGTATATCTTTTAGTAGTGATTGATGTATTAAGTAAATATGCATGGGTAGAACCTCTAAAGAATAAAAGTGTCGAAGAAGTAAAGAATGCTTTTAATCGTATTCTAGAAAATAAAAATGATGACAATAGTTACAAAAAAAGAGAACCTGTTTGTGTTCAAAGTGACAGAGGAAAAGAGTTCTTAGCTCGTGAATTTCAACAAATGTTAGTAAAACGAGGTACACGATTTCGCGCAGTGAGAGATCCAAACACAAAAGCCGCAGTTGCTGAACGATTTAATAGAACTCTTAAGGAACGTATGTGGCGGTATTTTACGTATCGCAATACACATCGTTACATTGATGTTTTACAACAAATTATACACGCTTATAATAATGCTCAACATTCTGCTACAAAAATGAGACCTTCATCGATAACTTTATAAAATGCGCAAACAGCACGTTTAAATATTTTACAAAAATATAATAAAAAGAGTATTACATGGTAGAAAGAAAGTTAAATATAAGGAAGGTGATTATGTACCTCCACTGAAAATTCCCACATAAGCTCCCATATAGGAAACCACATGGGTCCCTATATAGGAAGCCATATGGTTTCCTATACAAAATCGTATACGTAATTGGAACAGGAATTTGAATAGGAAATTATGTCGGAATTATCATATGAATCCACATCCACACAGGAATGTACATTCCTATTTCAATTCCTATAATATGAATTTTTTTTAACTCTAAGATATATATCTTTCAATAGTAGAGGTTCCTGATAGACTACAGAGATGAAAAAAATTTATTGCGCAGCGGAAAAAGTTGAAGAAAACTACTGCGTATGATATTAAGATATAATGTGCATTCATATGATAATTCCTACTTAATTTCCTATTCAAATTCCTGTTCCAATTACGTATACGATTTTGTATAGGAAACCATATAGCTTCCTATATAGGAGCCTATGTGGGGATTTTCAGTAGGGACGTATCAGTAGAGAGAGAGAGGACCCTTTGCGAAAGGTTATGAAGCTGGATGGACTGGAGAAATATTTATAATAAAACGAGTTTTTCATGAACGACTTCATTCACCAGTTGTTTACGAATTAAAAGATTTATCAAATAAGCTTATAGAGAGATTGTTTTATGAACTAGAATTATCAATTGTAAAAAAAAGAAAATCTTCTGACTGATACTGAGTACATTGTTAAAAAAGTAATTCGTAGAAAAGGTACAGGTAGAAAAAAGCAAGTACTTGTCAAGTGGAAAGGTTATCCTAATAAATTTAATTCTTGGCTTCCAGAGTCTGATTTAAAAAATTTATAATAAATTCCGATCAATTTTATTTAGTATTACCAAGTAACAGTAGTATGAAATATTTTCCAAAGAATACTACAACTCACTTTACCACTCAACTACCACATGAAATTCGTTTACATGGTCGTTCGGCGGTTGCATTAACAGAAATACAGTTTCCTTGCACATTTTTACACATAAGAAATTTTAAGTCTAATAAATTTGAAAATCGTATTGCTTTAATGTCAATTATACAAAATAATGATACAGATGGAAGAAAACGCAGCACAGAAGATTACTATATTGATGATGGAAAACAGTTACTTGAAAAATATCCAATGCCGATGAAATACTTTTTTGCTTCACGTAATAAAGATGATAACAATTGTGATAACTATGATTACGACTATGATAATAAAGATTCAAGTGAGGTGATGGCAAATTCAATTGATGAAATTGAATTTAATAAAACAAAGCAAGCATCCACCGTTTGGTGGTTAAAACCTGAGAATGTTGCTTTTATACGTCCAGAAATTTACAAAAAAGTTCAAGATTTAATTATAACAATTAATCAAACGCCAATAATTAGTAATCATAACTTTTAAAGTTTAGCTTTTCTTTAACTTTTAAAGATGAAGAAGACTCGTATGTTAGAGTTCAAAAAGTATGTAACGAAAATTGTGAAATGTCGGGACAACATTTTCTAGCAATTAGCGAGAAAGTCTCCAAAATTCTTGGAT